TTGCTCTGTTTCTGAATATCTATCTATCTATCTATCTATCTATCTATCTATCTATCTATCTATCTATCTATCTATCTATCTATCTATCTATCTATCTATCTATCTATCTATCTATCTATCTATCTATCTATCTATCTATCTATCTATCTATCTATCTATCTATCTATCTATCTATCTATCTATCTATCTATCTTCTTTCAGAAGAACAAGCATGACTTACCTCGTTCGCGAACGTGATCATAGAAATTGTGTTATTTTGGTCATCTCAAAATTAAAGAATTAAATTCCTCAAAAAAGCTATATGTGGACTCTCAAGAAGGGTGCCTAGTAAGCACGTGTTTAAGAAGAATGTGCAAACTCTGCCTCGTTAACGTGATCGACTTAAATTGTGTTATTTTGGTCATTTCAAGATTAAAGGGTTACATAAATCATAACAGAGTAAGAATTTAAAACTTCTAGAAAGTAAACAAACAGAACAGAAAGAGTTAATCTGTGTTAATTCTAATGATACCATTTTAAACTGTTGACAACAATGGTGTGTTTACAATTTACTTTATTTACATAATCCATCGTCAACAATTGTCAACATAGGTTAGTGACTTTTCATTATAAAATACACACCCTTTATCTGGACTCAAAGTTCAGGATTGACTTTGTCTTACTGGTCTTGGCCTCAGAATCGAACATAATGATATAACGTAAAACTGCATTTTATTTCGTTTGTAGAATAAGATACATAACAGTAAGACACTAGAGCCACTCGTGGCACAGAGTGGGTAAAATCAGTAGCGTATTTAGGGAGGGGGGGGGGGGAGTCAGTGGGTCATGGCCCTCCCCTCGGGCCTGTGAAAGGTCTTATTTTGAAGTGAAGTGAAGAATTAGGCCCTCTATATACTCGAAATGTATCTCAGACAGGCCATCTAAATCCATTGAATTCTGCCTCTGGCAGACCCCCTGGCTCAACGACCTTCGCCCCTTTGACCCTTGACTCAGCGAGCATCTCTATTTTGGTCTCCTCCAGGCAATTTCTAGATACGACCCTGTACCGAACAGTTAGCGTAAAAATCCATTTAATTTCAGTTCGGGAGTCAATTGTCCAGTTTGAACGCGACCACAAGGTCAC